TGGAACTTAATCTACATGCACGTGTGGGCCCCACCCCCAAAATGAGTGCTCTTGCCGGCGTGACCCTCACGTATGGGCCCGTAAAAGTTTTTAGCGGGTAAGCTGCTAACTCGAGAACCAGAAAAGCTAGAAAGCTGAAATTTTAAGGAGATTTCCCCCTGCAGGTCTCAATGAGTTCAAACTCTGTCTCCAGGTGTGCGTGATTCCCACATACGGGCCCGTGAAATTTTTTTTGCGAGTAAGTTGTTAACTCGAAAACCAGAAAGACTAGAAAGTTGGAATTTGAAGGGGATGTTCCCTGACAATCCTGGCGGCTAGTCTCAGTTCTTTTAGCTAGAAGCAGATGCTTGTAATTAACACGGCACCTCATCGTGATTTAGGAATAGCAATAGTCGGTGCGGGGTTGTTAATGCTCAACACATCAAGTTCGGCAGGATTCCCGCGGAAATTTGGCTAGAATTGAAAAAAAAAAGCGTTGTTCGTGGGAACAGCATTGGATACTGCAGAATAATATGTATGCGAGTGGCATGCGTACAGAATATAGGCGCCCCAGTCGATAGCGGATTTAACTCTTTGGCATATGCCAGTACCAATTTACCATCGAAATGAATGAACGAGTCGCAGAGGGATTGGTTTTTGCCTTCGGCAAAGCCAAATCTTCGACTTCCCGCATGAAAATAGTACTGTTATCTCACTGTGCATGCTTGCTGACAAGTACTGTGATGAAATGTAGGGAATAAAATATCGCGACTTTAAAAGTTAATAAGTTGGGCTAGTGTGCGTGCTTTCAGTGTGTGTAAGTATCGAAACACTCCTGCAAAGTTTCAGCTTTCTACGTTGCCTGATTCGCGAAATCGTTTCCCGCTAACATATTTCTTTAGGGGTCCCATACGCGGGCTTTAGGCGTGTATGGGAAAGGTCTTAAAGCGATCCATATACATATTTATAATTATATACAATAACTAAGACTGTAAAACGCAACAGAAAATGGAGGTAATAATGAAAAAATAAAGTAGCGAGGCTCTGGAGAGTTGAAGCTCTCTAGAACAGGGTTGAGTAATAAAAAAGAGCGACTGTGGATTTTGGAGGTGGGTAGGAGTGCTTTTATACCCCAGTGGTCACAGATCACAAAGACTGCAAAACTGTAACGCGGCTAAGTGTCCAAAATTGAACCGGGGACCAGGGACGTTGCATCATAGTGATTCAATTGCTCCTTACGTAATTTCTAAGAAAAAACCATAAATCATTGTGTGAAATATTATGTGACGTATTCTTAAGGGATGAGGAAATTGTATGCGATCGTCGCATTGGTGCACTTGTAGTTACGGCCGGTATTCAATGCATTCGTGATGATGGGAAGGATGCTGTAAGTCGTTTTAAACGATTATCCACTGATGGCAAAACATCGATTGTACGTTGTATGTTGGAAACTGGCCGTACGCATCAAATACGCGTGCACTTGCAGTATTTAGGTATAGTAAAATTTTTTAAAAAAACTGGATTTGGAAAGAGAGAAAAAAGAATGTTTTGGAATGTTACTTCTTTTAAAGTTTTGGAATTTTAGAATTTTTCTTAGGAGTTTTTGGAATGTTCCTTACTTTTTATGCGTTTTGTGCTGTGTAACAGCAGTACAAAACGCATATTGTTACGGGGTTGTCTG